ACTAACGAGCAACGCTTGCAAATCATTGAATTTTATTACCAAAATCAGTGTTCGGTTCGAAATGTGTTTCGCAAACCCAATTGCTGCGAACGGCGACGAATCGACATTTCACGGTCTTCAGCAACACTCTCAGAAACAGACGCAATATTCTCTTCTGTACGCACTGTACGCATTCGTGTGGTTGGTTTAATGTCCAATAAAGTAAACTGAGTGCGAAACTTGGTCACAATCGCATTAATTGTTTGCTCACTTGGTCGATTATGTAGACCATAAATCGGACGTAAAGCGAACCGAACACTGATTTTGGTAATAAAATTCAATGATTTGCAAGCGTTGCTCGTTAGTAAGTCTATTCATGATGAAATGTCAAAGCATACTGAGCATCTTTCTCTTTGACACCATGTCTGAAATCCCACGTGATCTGTCAAATACTAATGCATGAAAATCCTAACCTCAAAAAAATCACCCGTTACAATCTTCATAGAAAGATTAAAAAATTATTTAAAGTTGTGACTGGTGGGACATCTCCTTATGACTGGTGTAAAGTAATTATGCATGAAATAAAAGTTTCCATAGTCAAAAATGATAACTTATTTTGTTTTTTTTTTTAAAATTTTCTAACAGATTAATAAAATGTAGTCATTTAAAACGAGGTTATTACTGAAATAGGGATAATTAGGGAACATTTAAGATTATGTCGTTTTCCTCTTTTCAATGGAATGACTCAGAACATTTGTACTTTGTATGGAAGAAATGCGTGGCACTATCAGGAAAAAAAGATCAAAAAACAACGCGTTTTCTTAGCCATTTGAAACTTGCACTTTCTTAAGCTAGAATGGGCTAAAAAATTGTAAACCTAGATTTTTTCTAAAAATTCTTAGTAAAATGTCTTTTATTGTTGTAAATTTCTTTGAAGTTTGTAATTGGGACTTGTATGGTGTTTGTTAGATAATGAGCTGTATTTGTATGAAGAAATAATAAACATTAAACAGTCAAAAGAAGAATAGCCAAAACGGGGCAAAGTGTCGTGTCCCTATTATTTTTTCACATGACTATATATTTATAAATCAAAAGTTTTGATACAAAGTTTGTTAATTTCCCAATCAACAGCAAAGAAAAAAGTTACAAAAACAACTATATCTTTAAACACTCTTATCAAATACAGTCCTATTCAATTCAATTTTAATGGAAAATTTGTGTAAAAGAATTAAAGATGTTGTTAAGGCAAAAGACGACGTGACAAAGTGTTAAACAATACATTTTTTAAGATTCTACGTACTGAATTGAAATGCATTTTATAAGAGTGTTGATAGAACTTGATTTTTACGTAGTTGTTTTTGTAGTTTCTTTTCTTTCTAAGAAAACACATTTCAAGCTTTGGGAAATTAACAAACTTTGTACCAAAAACTTTCATTGATTAGTATTTGTACTTATGTATGTATATAAAAGTTTCAAGTATAAATATTAAAAAGTGTTCAGGTGTACGAACTAGAGGTTTACGCCGGCGCGTCTGGAAACGCCGGCGCTACTGCCCATAAGGTACATTTCCAAAGAGCCACAAGGCTACTAATCTTATCATGTCATCTCATCAGCGTTAGGCATTCGTCATGCAAATTCAGATTACAGCTCTATTTAATTCATTCTTGAATTAGTTTTGAATTTAAATATTGTTACTTCTCACTTGGATTAAAATGTTGAGTGCCTGGCGCTGATGGATAGGCAAACAGAAAGAGGTCTGAGGTATATATACAAACATGGTTCTCTATGTTCTCTACAGATCCGTATATATGTACTATTTAAATTTAAGGAAATATTAAAAATTTAAAAAGTTAAGTTATTGGAGTAATTTATGCAGCTACTAATAAATGTTTGTAATAATCTTATCTATCTTCCTGGGGTGTGACCACCACTTAAGAATGCTAACGTAATTTTCACACAGCCACCTAGTACTTGTATACGTCTGTGGGACCCCAGAAATAAATAACTTATAAATGTAAAAATTAGCAAAAAAAAGGTTTTAAAAGTCTGTTTAAAAAATATCCAACTCTTTATTCAAAAAAAAAAATTCAAAAGAAAATCAACTGCGACAGAAACTCTGCTTTATCTCCAATAATTGACGAGTTAGATGCAATAAGGGCACTTCTGTTAAAACTGCTTTTTGAGATATTAGGGTTACAGTTTTTGATGCGTGATAACTAGGGCTCGGAATCTCATGCACTAAAAAATCGAAGCTATATGCGCATATAATATGCACACAAAATTCAAAAATATGCGCAATAAACAAGTAAAATATGAAATTAAAAATATTTTCCCAATATTTTATTGCCGGTACAAAAATACTCACTGCACTTGTTTCAAAGTAGTCTTTCAATTAGTTGATTTAGAAAAAAACACTTTCTTCTCTCAGGGTAGATTGTCACCCTAGTGAAAAGCAATTAACAGGTTTGCCATTTTCATTCCACAACTTGTGCAACCTACAGCCGTTTGACGGATTAATGAATTTCAGTATGTCATACAGAGAGGCAGCTGCACTGTGAAACATTCTGCAGGAATGGCTTGCCAAGTGTCTTCTGCCACATCCTTGCGAGGGCTGCATACTCGCACAGCAAGTATTCGACTGTTTCTTTTGTGCCAGGGTTATCGCAACTGCGACAGAAAATGTTGAAGGAAAATCCCTGTGCATACTGCAGTAAGTTTGTAAGTATCTTATTTTCTTATTCCTAAGAGAGGTCTGGTTTTAAGTGGGTCGAATGACACCCAGAACTCCCTGGTAATCCTGTACAATCCTGTACGGTCCCAACTCTGCTTGGCCTTCGAGTGACACATTTCGGTAATTTTTGCTTTTATCTCCCTGAGCGAGACACCTGTGCCCCCCGCGTGGGACACCTGGCTAGGTGGTCCGTTGCCTCGATTCCGTAAATGTCCCTATTTCCCAGGACTCATACTAGGGTAATTTCGTATTGATCATTGATATACGTCAGCTCTCTCCTACAGTCCTCCACAAGTTCAGATCTAATAGAGGTAAAAGAGAGTGCCTTAATGGAAGCTTGGCTATCCGAGAATGAATATTTGGGGAAAAATTATAAGTAATTTATTTTGTCAAGAGATTTTACACTAAGTTTAAATAGTTCTAAATCGAAAAAGCAAAAAATATGCCGAAACCACATGCATTTATATAAAATTGTACTAAAATATTAGCAATATATTTGCAAAAATAGGAATTTTTTGCATAATATGGAAAGCCATGCATTTATTGCAAAATATGCAAAAACATGCACTAACGATTGAATGTCATTTTAAAGAAAATTTAATGATTCGTAAAGATAACTTAACGATTTCCATTAGAAGATGCCCAATAAAAACATGCATTTGCATGAGACTCCGAGCCCTAGTGATAACTTTATTGTTGTTGTAGTATATAAAAAAAGTTTTATTTCTGTAGTATTCAAAAAAATTTACTACTGCAAAAAAAATCGTCCGATTACCAGTTCGACCCTAATTTAACCTGTGTATGTGCATTAGACTGTGTTCGCTTTAATGTTTTTTTTTCGATCCCATATCAGAATTTTGTTGTCGATTACAAAAAAATAATGTCTGCAAATTTTCAGCCTTCTATCTTCATTTTTCAGTTAGAGCTCGCAAAAATAAGAATTTTCAATGAAAAAATGTTGTTCCGCAACTTAATTTTTTATAAACAATTAAATGTAACAAATAAAATAAAGGCCTTAATTCAGTTTTGTAGAGAATTAAATTCTCTACAAAGATAGTTTTACATCAAATTTAAAAAACAAGCTCCGTGTTTTTTTGGAGCTAATAAAAGTGAATTTTATAAAATTTGATGTTGTATTATGATTGATCACACTGTTCCGCGGTCGGCTGGGGAATTGATTAAACCAAGTTTTTCCTAAATCCTGGATTGTATATAGAAAAGTAATTTATCAGTTTTCCCTGCTTTCCGATTTTAAGCGGTTTTTTTTAAATACAAGTTGGTGGTCGCACAGCCGCATTTAAATCACTTAAAAGTTATTAAAATGCAAATATTTATACACTCAAAAGACCTTTTTGTGGGTCTTGGGTCTCGAAGAATCTGAATTCGCAATTTTTTTTAGCAAAAAACGGCCACTATGGTGCGTTTTAATGTAAAAAAAAACATGGAAGGAACATGAAGGCGAAATGGAAACAATGTTTCTCAGCAATATTTTTAAACAATAGGGCTGTTCAGGATGTTGTGGAAATGTTCTGGGATTTGTAGTTGGAATTGCATCTGAAAAGTTTATGCTGGCTTCCATGGCAACCGTGTGCATTTTATTGTTGTGAATTTACAAATGCAACGAATATGCAAATGCAATAGCATATGCACAAGATCCTGAACAGCCATAATGTTTATTTGCACCAAAGTGCGCCCAGCAGCCGCTTTTTCGTAAAAATAAACATCAGATTCGGATTCCCCGTGCCCGACTATTTCCACAAAGGTCTTTTTATGGTTTAAATATCTGCATTCTAACCACTTTTAATTGATTTAAATGCAGCTCTGCGACCACCAATTTGTATTAAAAAAAAACCGGATGTAAATCGTAAGAAAATTAGGAGTACTTACATCTTTCTATGTATGTATATGTACATGTTTTTGCCATTAAAAAAATCGTATAGCCGTAACAAACCAATGGAAACGAAAAAGCCTTCCTTGATAAGTACACATATTCATATTGAGCTTGGTCGTGAAAAAAAATTAATTATAATATCTCAAGTATTACAATTAAGAAACACGTCGTTTCAGAACACGAAAACTTTCCATAAAGGCTTAACTAAGTATGTAAGTACTTATGTGAGTTGCGTGGGGAAGTCTTACTGTCCATAGGAATAACTAGGTGACAACTTCATTATGTTCCCTATGGAAACATTTGAATTAATCGTTTATGCTCACATTATACACTAGTTTACACACATACATACATACGGATATAATTATCGTGATAATAGTTTTAGCCAATTTGACTCACCTGCTTTTACAACACTAACAGCCAGAAAACAAAATAGGACGGCCTTTAGTAGGCAGGGATTTAGTGGCCTCATCGTCCGAGCCCTATCATAAAAAATTTAAACAAGTTTTTTTAGTTTGTTTAAGAATTCAACAAATATTAGCATAAATTTTGGAGTTGGTTTTTACACCCTTTGTAGTTATAACTAAAATCATTAAATTATTTGTTATTTAAGGTATTCATATGTATGTACATTCTTTTAGCTTCTTTACACATTATTAACTAAGTTCACTTCTGCACTTTTTACCAAATTTTCGCATTTGAAACACAATTTAAAACAATTTCATAATTTCCAGGATATACGTGGATGGTTATTATTTTGTTACTTTATTTTTAGATTTGATCTTATTTTCATTTGTTTTAAGTCCACCTATCCTTTTACTTATTGAGTCCATGAAGTCGTAATTGCTTACGAATCGTTCTTGTGTAAATACCTCCGAAATTTCTATGGCACTATTTTAATTGTGAGGCTGGCACAACTTTTGCATTAGAATCGTTCTAGGTTTCTGGGGAATTTCAAAAAGAACAGCCGCATTTACCGAATGCAATGGCAACTTAAATGTAAGTCATAACTTTGTCAATTTGTATCCCTTATATAGACTTGCTGTCTCACAGACTTCTTAATATTATAACAACAACATATTAGTGAATATAAAATTGAAGTTAAAGAATTAGAGCTCGAGATTGCTGTGCTTGTAGTCTGGATCTTTGCCTGTGTGTAAATCTTAATCTGAAAACCATTGTGATTAATGCTCATTTCCATACACATACATGTACATATGTACATTATGGTGTCCCAGAATATGTCACTTTTTTTTTTTGCAAAATTTGATACGCATACCCTCTAGTTTTTTCATTTTGGCATAAATAACGTATGTATATACATATCAATAAGTTTTATTGCTGTACGATGACGATTACCTGTGTCGACTTCAAGTTGAAGTTTTGCTTCAGAACTTCTACTGGGATAACCCGCGCGTTGCAACAATATTTAATAACTAATGCTGCTACATCAACAACAAAATTTAATTTCACATAAACAATCTGCCGATTATTTATCGCGCACACACTTGTGCCGATGCGTATTAATAAGTTTTTCAAGGACATTAAAAGATACAAATTTCTTTTAGAACATTATTCGTTTTTCCCTTAAGGGCGTATTTTACATCAATTACACAGGTTTACAAAAAAAAAGTGTATGCATATTAAATCAAGCCTATATATCCCTATGTTATTCGACATGCTGAATGCGAATCCGAGGTCCGTTAGCCTCAATCACGTCGAAGCTGAAATTATGGAGGTTAACGGCCCTCGGATTCGGGTTCAGCGAATCTAAAACCTTATATATATGAATTTTCAGGTTTATTCAGTGAATTCTTCCCTACTTGACCTTCAAACGACCACGACCCTGACGTGATGGAGTCTAACGGACTTCGGATTCGCATTCCGCGTGTCGAATAACATAGGGATATATAGGCTTGGTTTAATATGCATAAATTTTTTTTTTGTAAACCACGTAACAGGTAACTAGCTGCCGATATTTTAGTTGTGTTGCTGATAGCAATGGGCAATAGCGCAATTTTTGTGGCGCTAACTGAATAACGTCGGCGCCATCTATGGTGTCTGCGCACTAGGACAATCAATCCACAAGCATTTTAATAATACCAGGATTTCGAGATGTAAAAATCGACTCCCGGGATTTCTACTTTATCTAAATGTTTGCATTTGAGAGTAGGCTCACCGCCCTCAGAAATAAAAAATTAAACCACACAGATTCATTGTCGCCACATTTGGTCTTATACGGAACATAATGCATCTTAAAAAAAAAGAACACTTACTCATTTTTGCAGAAATTCAAACCACAAAACCACGCCAGCAAAGTAAAATGAAGAGCAGCTCGGCCATAAAGGTGGGTAATGGCACGATTTTTTGTGTGTTGGCACAGTGGCACACGCACACCATGAAGTGTTAACACATTGTGTTGGCACACACTCCACAACTCTTCGCTCAAATTTGCCATTTCCTTACGTTTTGCGTTTCTTGGCGAGAACACTTCACACAGCACAGTGTGTTATGTGTGCTAAAAACACTTCCCAGTTTGTGCTTTCATATTGTGTGAAGTGTGCTCCTGTGATATCGTTTAATTTACAAGTAACTTTTAGAAAAAAAAACCGACTAAAAAAATATATATATATATCTATATATTTCATGATCCAATGATAGGATCTAAACCAGATTAGTATGTGACCATCTCTGAGACACTACCTTTCCGATGCAAAAAAAATTATCGAAATCGGTTGACGTGTTCCAAAGTTATGCGGTAACATACACAAAAAAAAAATATTCCGACGAACTGATAATCTCCTCCTTTTTTGGAAGTCGGTTAAAAAGTGAGCCTGCGCACGGCACATTGATGATTGTTTGCAGAGTAGCACAACTCTGTGCTGTGTTACTCTGCACCACTGTAAAAGTCTCTTGTGTTTTCAATTGCTAACAGATTTTTCGTTCTTATACAGCCCTTTCTAAAAAAGTTTGAGCAAGTAAAGTTATTCAGACAGGTTCTAAAATTCACATCCGAGTGAATAAAGCCGTAGGAATAAAAACTAAGCAATTGCTGTTTCTCAAAATTTCAGACCATTTGCTCGATTTATTCAAATAAATTGAAGTAAAATGTCTGAAGTTTTAAGAAAAGGCAATTGCTAATTTTTTATTCATACGTCCCAATTACTCAAGTTCACTTTGAATCAAAATTTTGGTGTTTTGTACTTCTCGTTTTTCATGTCAAATTCACGTAAATTCATTTCATCCTTTTCAAATTTACTTTCGCTCCGACTCTAGAACTTGCCTGATTATGTAAATAAATTATGTAGCAAACATCTCGGGATCTCGGAGCTGTAATCTAGGATATCGGGGCATGGAAAAGTATCCGGGATCCCGGGATTGAAAGCCCACTTGTAACTTTAATAAAAATCAACGCGTTTTCTCACCTGTTTGAAACTTTCACTTTGTTATACTAAAGTTTTGTGGGCTATAAATATGCATACCCAAAAATCTTTTAAAAACTCATATTAAGAAGGTAAAATTTTGTTGAATATTTGTTGAACAATAAAAATTTATTTTAAAAAAGATTGTGTATATTTAAAAAAATTAACATGTGAACACTTGTTTGGATCACTGTAGTTTAGGTTTCGTTTTAGGAAAACGAAACTTCCTACTTTGGTCCATTATTTCATGCCGCAAAGACGAGCTATTTCATCAATCGCAGCTGTGTACGCCTCCGCTATTTACTACCACTCAATTATAACTTTGCCAATGTCCCTTGTTGTGACATCTATTGGGGCCTGTGGATCCTGCATTCCTTATCAACTTCGTCTGTGACGCTTGTGCTTTACTAATGTATGTAGTTAAGTTCTGAACCAAAACCTCAACTTCAAATTCGGCACGGGTTATCGTGATCCTACAGCAAGAAAACGTCAAAAGAAAAAAATTGGAGGGTATGCGTATCGAATTTCGCAAAAAAAATTCTGGGACACCCTAATGTATGTACATACATACATATATGTATGTATGCTCGTGTGAACACGTATATATGAATGTACATACTATGTACTAGCGTGTATTCGTTATTTTTCCCTTGACAGGGGTCAAATCGTAGGGCTCTGCAATGTCTAGTCGATACCTCCCGAAGTGAATTCACATAGGTCTGATCTACGTTCCTTATCCATGTGCATATGCATGTATACTTACGTTCAGGCATATGTATGTATGTGTTTGTGTCGGCTTATCATCCCAAATTAAAGTTGATAGTAGACTGCTTCTTACGGTAAATACATACGGATGTGTGCGTTGTGTAGCTCAATAGTATGCTAATATTTTACGCTCTCACATCAGAACTGATCGGCTCTGAAAAGTCGACTTTAAAAGAAGTCCATCGTAAGAGATTAAAAGAAATGCTTACGTGTGTATTCACGAACATGGGATAACTTATTTAAGAGGGTGCATGCGTGTGAACATTAAACGTATGAAAATGTGTATATAAATATACATATGTATAGCTGAAGTTTTTTTGTAAGCGAGCGACAAAAGAACGCTCAACTCGGGTAAAATTTCCTTTTAGCTACTTAAGCAACCCTGATGGTATCTGGCAAGAAACATGTGATTAGTTCAACGGGATTTAGACACAAAAAACAATTGAAATTAATAATTATGCCAAGTATTTGCGTAATATATATGCTTATTTAAAATATAAATCATGTATATACGAAAACAAAAATTTCCCTCCCCACTTTCTCATAAACAATTCACAATAGAGCAGTTTTTTCACTTAACAACACTACTCTTCAGGTCGCGTTTTTTTAACCGACCTGGCTGAACTCGGATAAATAGCCGAGTTTGTGTTGTTGCTTTGCGTGTATTTCGTCATTTAAGGGAGTGTTCTTTTGTAGCTTGGTTGCAAAAGAATGGACCTTATGTATGCATATACTTAAAATGTACATATGTATGCATATGCACATACATACATACGTGTTGTATGAATATCTACTTGTACTTTAGTTTGCAAGACGAAGCGATCAATACTTACTATCAGCATTTGTAACGTACGTCTCAAATCGATGTTTGAACACTAAATAAATGCTAAATAGATTGACACCAGCACTAACTTAAGATGCGTTTGGATCTTTTTTATAAGTGTACCTTTCTGCTTTCGCACATGTGTGGAGAGTACGAACATATTCCACATTATACAATCACTCACAATTTGATAACGCATCAGTATGTTTAGTAACCGGGCGTGTTTCATCGCCGCAGTTGATTTATTAGTAGAAATTGAACTTTAAACTGTTTCTTGATATTGCCATTGGTACTTGATAAAAATTTGTTCTTCTTCTTAAATGGCTTTGTTACTGCCTGTTTTCCACTCCTATCCACTCCAGTTGGGGGCTTCTTTAACATTAAGACCATTCGGATGAAAAGGCCCTGACCATCGGCGTAGCCAGAATGAAATTTAAGGGGGGGCTCGACCCTATTAAGCTGGCATTTCAGGGTACTATTTTATATATATATATAAAAAATTTGAAAGTTTGGGGGGGGAAGGCTCGAGGTAGTTATCTAATTCAGACTCGTCTAAAAATCTCCCACCCTACAAAGATTTCTTTAGCCGGGAGCGAAAAAATATACAATATCTATGACTGCTTAGTACCTATTTGAAACATTTGTAACGGCTTCGTATGCCCGACTGGGCAATGAGCATCGCTGCTAGCACCGCTGCGGCCGGATGGGCTTGCTCTTCTGCCGCAGTGGTGCAAGCAGGCGGGGCCTAGCTGAGGCCGAGGTATAAACTCTCCTGCCGCGTCCAGTGGCGGGCCGGATGGGTTCGCACTAGGGGGGCTAGGGGGGGGCATACTGAGGCCATTTCTAGGGGGTACTTGGCGGTAGGTATAAAACGCCCCCCTAATCCAGGGTGTTATGCGTCACCGTGCCCATTGGACGGTTTGCAGTCAGGAGGTTTTCCGACTGTATTCTAACGGTGCCTCCCAGATACCTGTCCGCCTCCGGGAGTAACGGTGGACTTGCTGCGGCCTGGGGCTCTGCCGTGGTCGACCGTTTTTTCACCTTTCCCTTTTTCCGGCCGCCGAAAGGCTTCTGCTTAGTAGGAGCCCAAAGAACCAGACGATGAATGTAACAAAAAAAGCCTCGGAACCCTGCACGGGTAGTGCCACCGCTGGACACGGCGATGTTAAGTCCAATAAACCCAGCATCTTGGGAACCGCATCGACGGCGCCGAAGACAGGGCCTACACGGCCCAAACAGATTCGGCCCTCCGCAAAATCTGGAGGAAATGCTAAGCCCCCAGAGGGAAAGCATACCTCCAGCGATACCGGCAAAACTATACCCCTCGAGGGAAAGTCGAGGCCGGTGGAGAAGCTGCGGACGGCCCCTCTCTCCACGCTCATCCCGGGCACATCCAACTCACACGGGGTAGTAACCGAACCCAAGTCCTCCACGGACAACCCGGGAACTACTCCTGCGAGTAAAACAACAACCGGGGCAAACGACCTGGATCGGCGCCCCAGCTGCTCCAAAGCAGCGAAAATAATTTCGCCCTCCGTCACGGCTCAGCGCGACCGAAGGTCAGCCCCTAAGGTTATTAAAAGACTGGGCGTCATTCCACATGACCAGCTGACGGAGAAGCAAAAGGCCTCCCTCAAGTGGGCAATGGAGGTCTTCGCCGCCAGCGATAAGCGATCCTCCGGGAAGGGCGGTAAGGGCAAACCATTCACTAAGGGGAACCCACGGAAGGACCTAGGCCAAAAGAGACAACGATCTCTGGACGATACCGCGAGTGGATCCAAAAGGCATAGGACTTCCTCTCCCTCTGACCGTCCGTCCATGGCCGTGTCCACCACGAAGCCATTCAGCGAGGCCGTCAAAGAGCACCTCACGCTGGCGGTGTTGGACAAGGGCCATCCGGATGGCCACTGTGGCTCGGGGCGGACTTAGTTGCTGTTCACAGGGATGAAATCCCTAACAGGCCGCGAGCCTGGGCCTGGGTCCCAGTTGAACCATCAAAGCCAGAGGAGATTCTTGACTTTATCCGACTGGGCAACGAAGGACTGCCCACAAGTGATTGGAGGATAGTCCGAGTTGGCGAGACTAAGGGGAAGGAGCGTTTTGTTGGCTTCGTCATCAACGATGCCTCTGTCCCAGTTCTCGAGGGTTGTGGTGGAGTAATAAGCTACGGCTTTTACTCCATAACGGTAAAAATCCACCGGAAAACGGACCAACAAGGGGAGGAGGCGGGCAACGCCTCGAGCGGACCTGGCGCCTCCGAGTCGGCATCGGTGGCAGACAGCGCGGGGTCCACAGGAAACACCACGAGTGGACCTGGGGACCTACCAACGGGTGTACCCGATACCGGGTCGGATACTGAGAGCGACACGAGCTCAGTATCTGCCTACGTAGGGTCGGTATACAGCCGATGGGAAATTCTGAATGAGGACCAGCTTCTGGACTACGAACCGGAGGAGGAGGTTAATGACGTCACAATCATTGCCGCCGCCGAACGGGAGGAGCTAGAAGAGATGGACATTACCGACTTTGAGGATGGTGCAGATCCTACAAATTAATCTGCACCATTCCAAGGCAGCCTCGGCTGCCCTTCTTCTTCGCCTCAGTAAAAAAGCTGAGGACCTGATTCTAGTCCAAGAGCCTTGGATCGTTAGAAAGAAGATTTGCGGACTGAACTCTGATGCCTACCCGTTTGTAGCAGCTCCAGTAGCAGGTAGGATCAGAGCTTCCTTTCTGATTAAAAAAGTGTATTCTTATTTTTTACTCTCCCAATACAGCGACGAGGACACTGTCTGCATCAGCGTCCAGCTGAAGGAGAGCGTGATCTGGCTGGCAACATCCTACATGGCCCACGACAGCCATGTTTTTCCACCCTACAGACTGGAAGAAGCTGTGAAGGAAGCAAATCGCAGGAAACTCCCGGTCATAATAGGGCCAGACTCTAATTCGCATAACACGATCTGGGGCTCAAGCGACACCAACTCTCGAGGTGAGTGTTTACTTGACTTTGTTCTTTTATAAAATCTCACTATATGTAACCGCGGGCGCGACCCCACTTTTGTGACCTCTGTTAGAAGCGAAGTGCTGGACATCACCCTTGTTTCGAGCGGTTTGTCTGATCACATAAGGGACTGGCAAGTGTCCAAAGAACACTCTTTCTCTGACCATCTCTACATTAGCTTTAAGCTCAATTTTGATCCTGCTCCTTTAACAGCATACAGGAACAAGAAGCGAACCGACTGGGCAAAGTATAAAAATACGCTGTCGGTCTCTCTACACAGATACGCGTCTCACGATAAGTTCTGCTTATCGTTAAGATCTGATGAAGCGAGTCTCTCGAATACGAAGGTTGTTTCTCTTGGTGAGCCGGACTCATCGTCAAAAATTGATGAAGCAGTGAACTTTGTAACAAATGCCTGTAATGCTGCTTTCAAAGCCTCCTGCCCAAGCACCCTCCCGAAGGGCAAAAAGAAACCCCAGTGGTGGAATCCTGAGATTTCAGCACTGAGGAAGACCAGCAGGAGGGTCCTCAATCAACCATACAAAGACGCACTCAAAGTTTTCAAGAAGGCCATAAAGAGGGCGAAACGCGAATCTTGGCAAAACTTCTGCGACAACATAGAAGAGAACTCGGAAGCCATCAGGCTGAGGAAAGTTCTCTAGAAATCCTCTTCAAGTATGAATTCTATCCAGAAGCCTAACGGTGACTGGACGACGTCATGTAGCGAAATTCTGGAGGTCCTTATGAGCACTCACTTCCCGGGCTGCTCAGATGACACCTCAGATTTTTCGCCCGGTCCTAGGACCTACTTGTCTCTGGGTGATACCGTTGGGGACATTGTAAGTGAGGAGAGGGTGGAATGGGCTTTAATGTCCTTTCAGCCCTACAAATCTCCTGGCCTTGACGGAATCTTTCCCGCTCAACTACAGGAAGCTAAGGACATACTGTGTCCCATGCTTTCTCAGATCTTTACAGCCTGCCTAACACTGACTCACATACCACACGAGTGGACCAAGGCAAAGGTTGTATTCATACCAAAAGGAGGCAAGGCAGCACATGTGAAACCGAAGGATTTCAGGCCTATAAGCCTCACCTCTTTCTTTCTCAAAACTCTAGAGAGGCTCATCGACGAATATATTCGACGGAATATTAAAGCTGACAGACTCTCCTCGAATCAGCATGCATATTCCAAGGGGAAATCCGTGGAGACCGCACTCCATGAAATCGTAGCGACGATTGAAAAAGGATTGGCCTTAAAGGAATACACGCTCGGAGTTATTCTCGATATCGAGGGTGCTTTCAACAACGTCTACCCGAAGTCTGTTGTTAACTTCCTTCTCAGGGCGGGGGTGCAGCGAGATCTGGTGGATTTTGTTGAGCTCCTTCTCGGAAAGAGAACTATTCTATCAGAACTGGGGGATGGTTCCATTACATAGTATGTGACTAGGGGCACCCCCCAAGGGGGCGTTCTCTCCGCTCTACCCTGGAATCTAACAGTGAACACCATACTTCTAAGCCTTAAGAGCACCAGTTGTCAAGTCATAGCGTCCGCCGATGACATAGCAATCGTTGCAACGGGCAAACATCTTCAGGTCCTGAGTGAGTTATTGCAAAACGCACTCTGTCTGGTAAAAATCTGGTCCAAGGAATGTGGACTTAGTGTCAATCCTGCCAAGCCAGAAATGGTACTTTTCAGAAGGAAGTATAAAACTCCCTTATTATACTTACTCTCTCAACCGTGGTGAAATACCTTGGTGTTATTCTGGACAGGAATCTGGACTGGAAGCGAAACATTGAAGATCGCTCCAGGAAGGCCAATACTGCCCTGTATGCCTGAAAGACGGCTATAGGCAAAAAATGGGGAATAAAACCACATATAGTACACTGGATGTACACAGCTGTGATAAGACCCATCCTTTTCTAAGGGGTCACCGTATGGCTCTGCCCACCACACCCACCAAATATCCGGAAATAATCTTAAGTCTTCCACCTGTGGATCTCTTCGGCAAATTTCAGGCCGGCTGTAGTGCGGCCAGGCTAAATACAATCCAGCCGTAGAGAGACCTCAGATTCGGGCACGCAAAAGTACTTGAAACTCTACCGGATAATCTACGAGAAATAGATTATATTAGATTATTTGCCTCCTCGGGCAAAAATAATAGGATTCGCAGACGACATAGCTGTAGTAATAGTAGCGAAGCATATATAGGATATTGAAAGGAAAGCCAGCGAAGCTATAAAGAGAGTGAAGGCATGGCTATCATCAAGATATCTAGAACTCGCTGATCACAAAACAGAGGCAGTATTGATAAGTAGCAGAAAGGCCATAGAGACAATAAGACTCAGTGTTGAATCAGAAACTATAATATCAAAGCCCGCAATCAAATATTTGGGGGTAATGATTGATGGCCGTTTAAACTTTAAGGTCCACCTGGAGTATGGAGCAAAGAAAGCATCGAATTTACAGGCATGCTTATCTAGAATGATGCCAAATATCGGCGGTCCTAAACATAGTAGAAGGGTATTGCTTAGTAGAGTG